CAGGGGACCTCAGGCCATGCCCTCTACCCAGCAGGGCTTGATGGGAGACCTCAGGCCGCACCCCCCGCCCCGGTGCCAGGCCGGAGGACCTGAGGCTGCGACCCCCAACCCGGCACCAGGCTGGGGGACCTGAGGCAGTGTCCCCCACCCTGCGGGGCTTGACGGGGGACCTGAGCCTGTGCCCCCAACTGGTGGGGCTTGACAAGGGTGGGGCCAGCTGGGTCTGGATCTCGCCCAGTGGAGGTGGGGCTAGCTAGGTCTGGGTCTCGCGCAATTTTGAGGCACCGTGGGTATGCAGGGACTTGACTTTGGGTCCCCCAGTGTGCCCCAGACTCTGACAAGAGGAAGCTTTTCATATACATTTTACTACTTTTCTTTTAACTCTGACACTTCTATTATAGAGAAAGGGCAAATAGCAATATTAAAATATTTCCCCTAATTAATCCCCTTTTAATGTGCACAAATTTCATGCACCAGGCCACTAGTATATGTATAAGTATCAGAGAATACACAAACTAAATTGTGATATCCTGAGCACAGTGCAAAGTATGAATTTCAAGTCAGGAACTGCAGGCAGGCATCAAATTCTAAATCTAAACAGGCAGGATTGTAGTCACAATAGAGATAGAGAGATAGAGAGATAGGAAAAGAGAGAGGAGAGAGAGAGAGAGAGAGAGAGAAAGAGAGAAAGCAAGGAAGGAAGGAAGGAAGGAAGGAAGCAAGCTAGCTCCAGGTGGAATGGGGAAGAAACTTAAACAAAATTTTAGTGGCTGCCTGGAGCCCAGAGGCTGATGAGATGAAGGCTACCTTAGAGTAGAGGCAGGATCAGACATCAGAAGGTTTTAAAAGCCAAGTAATTCAGGCTGGTGTGGCTCAGTTGGGTAAGTATCATCCCATGCACCAAGAGGTTGCTGTTTCGAATACCAGTCAGGGCACATACCCTGGTTGAGAGCTCAATTCCCAGTAGGGGACACATAGGAGGCAGCCAATCGATGTTTCTCTCTCACTGATGTTTCTATTTCTCCCTCTCCCTTCCTTTCTCTCTAAAAAAAACACTTAAAAAATTAAAAGCCAAGTTGTTTTATTCAGGATAAAGTTGATAGTGGTAAAAAATGAGGGCAGAATGATCTTATAGAATTGATTTCAAGTGACAAAGGGAACCTGTGAGATAGCACAAGAAACTGAAAGCTCATAATTTCATGGGTGATTCTGAAGGAAGAAGAGAATCTGGAACCAGAAATGAATATTGAAGATAAAGTAAAAGTCCTTGCCAGAGCTGCTACCAAAGGAATCACCACGTCTACTGTTAAATGAGAAAACATGGTCTCCTATTTTATGATAAGGAAGTGGCAAAGATGGCTGCAAAGTTTCATGCTGGACACTTACAGAACGGTGATCCCACTGAAAGAAATAGGAATGGCAAGGAGTCAAGGGTATGAATGACTGACTTAGCTGTGATATGTTGAATTTAAGGAGGATGGTGGATACATTGAAATCAAACTCTTTCCTCACTCTGGCTAGATACTTTTGGCTCTGAAATGGCAAAAGGGCACATATTGTCAAAGTGGTCATGTTTGTAGAGACCAACTCAGTTTCTAGAATGACCAACTGACAAATTCATAAAAAAAAAAAACTTAAGTGTTCGGACCACAACAAGCTAGGCTCCAGACCCTCCAGACCTTAGTTTGAGCTTTAACTCTTTAATTAATACTCTGGAAACAAATTGCCATGAAACCCTTTTCAGTGAGACTTTAGGAAGCACAACTGTTCATCACTAGGGGAATTCTCTAGCCAAGACATCTGCCTTAAGAGTACTACTCTAAAACCTCATGAGATTGCCATCACTTACAACCAGACCTCCAGGCCTACGATAAGTGTGCACCTGATTATCCAGGCTCAGAAAGTCTGAAGGATTCCATGTTAAAGTGACTGACCACTCCCTCCACTCCTGGCACTGGAGGATCTGCTAAAATCTAAGGTTCTCCAAACTCACCACGTCACTGTCAAGGAAGTCTGCCTGCAGAGACACAATTTCAGAAAACAGGTTCATGCTCTTGCTCAATGAAAAGTTGTAGTGGCACTTAATGCAGGAGCACAAGTGTTCTAATCCAAAACGCCTCCTAGAATTTATCTCTTGACTAGTGGCCCAGTGCATGAAATTTGTGCACATTGAAAGGGAATTAATTAGAGGAAATATTTTAATATTGCTATTTGCCCTTTCTCTATAATAAAAGTGTGAGAGATAAAAGGAAATGACTACAATGTATATGAGAATAATACATAATTTTATTAATAAACAATAAAATGATATAACGACGAACTCATGATATAAAAACATTGATGCAAATAATGACTGTTAAAGTGATTAAACTTATTTTAATATCTCCCTGTATACCACATTAAGAGTGAAAACAGCCCTAACCAGTTTGGCTCAGTGGATAGAGCGTCGGTCTGCGGACTGAAAGGTCCCAGGTTTGATTCTGGTCAAGGGCATGTACCTTGGTTGCAGGCACATCCCCAGTAGGAGGTGTGCAGGAGGCAACTC